GGGAGGGGTGATGGAAAGCAGGAGAATGGGGCGGGGTGATGGAAAGCGGGAGAATGGGGCGGGGTGATGGAAAGCAGGAGAATGGGGCGGGGTGATGGAAAGCGGGAGAATGGGGCGGGGTGATGGAAAGCAGGAGAATGGGGCGGGTTGATGGAAAGCGGCAGAATTGTCAACGGGAGTTGTGGGGTGGCCCCGTCCTCGCTTGGGCGGAGTCGACTTCGTGGTCGGGTGTGAGGGGAGCAGCCGACCTGCAGCAGTGGGCGAGCTGGTCGACGAGGAGGTCGACCTGCACAGGGGTCACTGCACGGGCGCCAACTTCAGGATGGCGCCGACTTCAGGGGAGGTCGACTTGGGAGTCGACCTCCGGAGGACGTGGTCGACGAAGGAGGGGCTGACGTCGACCTCGACGCAGGACGCCGAGCAGTGAGACGTCGAGTAGCGGGGCGTCATCTTCGTGACGCCGACCTCGGGAGGCCGACTTGGGTGGTCGGCCGACAACTGCACTGGTCGACGTGAAGCTGGTCGACCAGGAGTGACGTCGACCGAGGGTGTGGTCGGCCTGGTGAGGTCGACTGGAGGTGGCCGTCGACTTGGGAGGTTGATGGGCACGTAGGGGAGCTGCTGGTCGACTTGGTTGCCTGGTCGACCAGGTTACCTGGGTGACGAAGTGGTGCGGAGGAGTGCGACGTTCGCCCAGGCCAAGTTGGCGAGCCCGACCTCGGTGGTGGTATCCCGAGGTCGTCGTGGCGGATCAGAGGCAGTCGTCAGCTCGAGGTTGACGTGGTGTGTGCGCTGTGCAGGTGACGAGACTCTGCACGCCAATCATCTGCGCGCACCTGCGAAGCGGGTGCTCTGCTGTTCTGCATGAGCAGCGCTGGCACGCCGTCAACCTGCGACGTTGGCACGCCGTCGACCTTACCTTGCTGGACCTTACCTAGTCGTGCTGGAACGCGGTCGACCAAGCTGCGCTGGCAGTTGGCCGACTTGGATGTTTGCTCTGATGTAGTCTAGTGTTGCCAACTTCATTGTATCATTGTTGTCAACTTTCTCTAGTGAAACTCTTGCCAAATTACCCCTTGAACTAGCAAGCAGTATATGCACTAGGAAAACGACTAAGGACCAACGAACGCAGAGATCACACGAGCACCCGTGCCTAGCCCGTAGTCTAGCTCCCGTTGTATTAGTTATCTCCGCAAGAATGGGGCGGGGTGATGGAAAGCGGAAGAATGGGGCGGGGTGATGGAAAGCGGGAGAATGGGGCGGGGTGATGGAAAGCGGAAGAATGGGGCGGGGTGATGGAATTAGGGATAATTTGGCAAGGTGATGGAACGCGGGAGAATGGGGCGGGGTGATGGAAAGAGGGAGAATGGGGCGGGGTGATGGAAAGCGGGAGAATGGGGCGGGGTGATGGAAACAGGGAGAATGGGGCGGGGTGATGGAAAGAGGGAGAATGGTGCGGGGTGATGGAAAGAGGGGGAATGGGGCGGGGTGATGAAAAGAGGGAGAATGGGGTGGGGTGATAGAAAGCGGGAGAATGGGGCGGGATGATGGAAAGCAGGAGAATGGGGCGGGGTGATGGAAAGCAGGAGAATGGGGCGGGGTGATGGAAAGAGGGAGAATAGGCCGGTGTGATGGAAAGCGGGAGAATGGGGCGGGGTGATGGAAAGCGGGAGAATGGGGCGGGGTGATGGAAAGCGGGAGAATGGGGTGGGGTGATGGAAAGCAGGAGAATGGGGCGGGGTGATGGAAAGCGGGAGAATGGGGCGAGGTGATGGAAAGCGGGAGAATGGGGCGGGGTGATGGAAAGCGAGAGAATGGGGCGGGGTGATGGAAAGCGGGAGAATGGGGCAGGGTGATGGAAAGCGGGAGAATGGGGCAGGGTGGTGGAAAGCGGGAGAATGGGGCGGGGTGATGGAAAGCGGGAGAATGGGGCGGGTTGATGGAAAGCGGGAGAATGGGGCGGGATGATGGAAAACGGAGAATGGGGCGGGATGATGGAAAACGGAGAATTGGGCGGGGTGATGGAAAGCGGGAGAATGGGGCGGGGTGATGGAAAGCGGGAGAATGGGGCGGGGTGATGGAAAGCGGGAGAATGGGGTGGGGTGATGGAAAGCGGGAGAATGGGGCAGGGTGATGGAAAGAGGAAGAAAGGGGCGGGGTGATTGAAAGTGGGAGAATGGGGCGGGGTGATGGAAAGCGAAGAATGGGGCGGGGTGATGGAAAGCGGGAGAATGGGGGGGGTGATGGAAAGCGGGAGAATGGGGCAGGGTGATGGAAAGCGGGAGAATGGGGCGGGGTGATGGAAAGCGGGAGAATGGGGCGGGGTGATGGAAAGAGGAAGAAAGGGGCGGGGTGATGGAAAGCGGGAGAATGGGGCGGGGTGATGGAAAGTGGGAGAATGGGGCAGGGTGATGGAAAGCGGGAGAATGGGGCGGGGTGATGGAAAGCGGGAGAATGGGGCGGGGTAATGGAAAGCGTCAACTCTCATATAAGAGCGTCAACTCCCCTATAAGAGCGTCAACTTCCCTATAAGAGCATCAACTCCCCTATAAGAGCGTCAACTCCCCTATAAAAGCGTCAACTCCCCTATAAAGGCGTCAGCTCTCATTAAAGAGCGTCAACTCTCCTATAAGAGCGTCAACTCCCCTATAATAGCGTCAACTCTCATATAAAAGCGTCAACTCTCCCATAAACATGTCAACTCCCCTTTAAAAGCGTCAACTCTCATATAAGAGCGTCAACTGCCCTATAAGAGCGTTAACTTCCATATAAGAGCGTCAACTTCCCTATAAGAGCTTCAACTCCCCTATAAAAGCGCCAGCTCTCCTATAAGAGCGTCAACTCCCCCATTTAAGGGGCAACTCTCATATAAAAGCGTCAACTCCCCTATATGAGCGTCAACTCCCCTATAAACACATCAACTCCTCTTTAAAAGTGTCAACTCTCATATACGAGCGTCAACTCCCCTATAAGGGCGTCAAATCCCCTTCAAGAGCATCAACTTCCTTATAAGAGCGTCAACTCCCTATAAGAGCGTCAACTCCCCTATAAGAGCGTCAACTCCCCAAAACGAGTGTCAACTCCCCTATAAAAGCGTCAACTCCCCAATAAAAGCGTCAACTCTCATATAAGGGCGTCAACTCCCCTATAAGAGCGTCAACTCCCCTATAAGGGTGTCAACTCCCCTATAAGAGCGTCAACTCCCCTATAAGAGCGTCAACTCCTTTATAAGAGTGTCAACTCCCCTACAAGAGCGTCAGCTCTTTTATAAGAGCGTCAACTCTCCTATAAGAGCGTCAACTCTCCCTTTACATCTTTAACTCTCATATAAAAGTGTCAACTCCCATTCAAAAGTGTCAACTATCATATAAGAGCGTCAGCTCTTCTATAAGAGCGTCAACTCCCCTATTAGAGCGTAAACTTCCCAATAAGAGCGTCAACTCCCCTATAAGAGAGTCAACTCCCCTATAAAAGCGTCAACTCCCCTATAAAAGTGTCAGCTCTCCAATAAGAGCGTCAACTCTCCTATAAGAGCGTCAACTCCCCCATAAAAGCGTCAACTCTCACATAAAAGTGTGAACTCCCCCTATAAGAGCGCCAACTTCCCTATAAGAGTGTCAACTCCCCTATAAGAGCGTCAACTCCCCTATAAGAGCGTCAACTCCCCTATAAGAGCGTCAACTCCCCTATAAGAGTGTCAACTCCCCAACAAGACCGTCAACTCCCCTATAAGAGCGTCAACTCCCTTATAAAAGCGTCAACTCCTCTATAAAACCATCAACTTTCATATAAGAGCGTCAACTCTCCCATAAGAGCGTCAACTCCCCTATAAGAGCGTCAACTCCCCAACAAAAGCGTCAACTCTGATATAAAAGCATCAACTCCCCCATAAAAGTGTCAACTCTCATTTAAAAGCGTCAACTCGCATATAAGAGCATCAACTCCCCTAAAAGAGCATCAACTCTATAAGAGCGTCAACTTTCCTATAAGAGCGTCAACTCCCCTATAAGAGCCTCAACTTCCCTGTAAAAGCGTCAACTCCATATAAAAGCGTCTGCTCTCCGATAAGTGCGTCAACTCTCTTATATGAGCGTCAACTCCCCCATAAAAGCGTCAACTCTCATATTATAGCATCAACTCTCCTAAAAGAGCGTCAACTCCCCTATAAGAGTGTCAACTCCCCTATAAGAGCGTCAACTCCCCTGTAAGAGCGTCAACTTTCCTATAAGAGCGTCAACTCCCCTATAAAAGCGTCAACTCTCCTATAAGAGCGTCAACTCCCCTATAAGAGCGTCAACTCCCCCATAAAAGCGTCAACTCTCATATAAAAGCGTCAACTCCCCTAGAAGAGAGTCAACTCTCCTATAAGAGCGTCAACTCTGCTATACGAGCATCAACTCCCCTACAACAGCGTCAACTCTCCTATAAGAGCGTCAACTCCCATATAAAAGCGTCAACTCTCATATATAAGTGTCAACTCCCCCATTAAAGTGTCAACTCTCATTTAAAAGCGTCAACTCTTATATAAGAGCATCAACTCCCCTATAAGAGCGTCAACTCCCCTATAAAAGCGTCAACTTCTCTATAAGAGCGTCAACTCCCCTATAAGAGCATCAACTCTTCTATAAAAGCGTCAACTCCCCTATAAAAGCATCAACTCCCCATTCTCCCTCTTTCCCATTACCCCGTCCCATTCTCCCGCTATCCATCACCCCGCCTCATTCTCCCGCTTCCCATAACCCCACCCCATTCTCCCGCATTCCATCACCCCGCCACATTCTCCCGCTTTCTATCACCCCGCCCCATTCTCCCTCCTTCCATCAACCCGCCCCATTCTCCCGCTTTCCATCACCCCGCCCCATTCTCCCGATTTCCATCACCCCGCCCCATTCTCCCGCTTTCCATCACCCCGCCCCATTCTCCCGCTTTCCAACACCCCGCCCCATTCTCCCGCATTCCATCATCCTGCCCCATTCTCCCTCCTTCCATCACCCCGCCCCATGCTCCCGCTTTCCATCAACCCGCCCCATTCTCCCGCTTTTCATCACCCCGCCCCATTCTCCCGCTTTCCATCACCCCGCCCCATTCTCTCGCTTTCCATCACCCCGCCCCATTCTCCCATCACCCCGCCCCATTCTTCCGCTTTCCATAACCACGCCCCATTCTCCCGCTTTCCATCACCCCGCCCCATTCTCCCGCTTTCCATCACCCCGCCCCATTCTCCCGCTTTCCATCACCACGCCCCATTCTCCCTCCTTCCATCACCCCGCCCCATTCTCCCGCTTTCCATCACCCCGCCCTATTCTCCCTCCTTCCATCACCCCGCCTCATTCTACCTCCTTCCATCACCCCGCCCCATGCTCCCGCTTTCCATCACCCCGCCCCATTCTCCCGTTTTTCATCACCCCTCCCCATTCTCCCACTTTCCATCACCCCTCCCCATTCTCCCTCCTTCCATCACCCCGCCCCATTCTCCCGCTTTCCATCAGCCCACCCCATTCACCCGCTTTCCATCACAACGCCCCATTCTCCCGCTTTCCATCACCCCGCCCCATTCTCTCGCTTTCCATCACCCCGCCCCATTCTCCCATCACCCCGCCCCATTCTCCCGCTTTCCATCACCACGCCCCATTCTCCCGCTTTCCATCACCCCGCCCCATTCTCCCGCTTTCCATCACTCCGCCCCATTCTCCCGCTTTCCATCACCCTGCCCCATTCTCCTGCTTTCCATCACCCCGTCCCATTCTTCTCCTTCCATCACCCCGCCTCATTCTACCTCCTTCCATCACCCCGCCCCATTCTCCCGCTTTCCATCACCCCGCCCCATTCTCCCGCTTTCCATCACCCCGCCCCATTCTTCCGCTTTCCATAACTACGCCCCATTCTCCCGCTTTCCATCACCCCGCCCCATTCTCCCTCCTTCCATCACCCTACCCCATTCTCCCGCTTTCCGTCACCCCGCCCCATTCTCCCGCTTTCCATAACCCCGCCCCATTCTCCCGCTTTCCATCACCCCGCCACATTCTCCCACTTTCCATCACCCCGCCCCATTCTCCCTCCTTCCATCACCCCGCCCCGTTCTCCCTCCTTTGATCACCCCTTCCCATTCTCCCGCTTTCCATCAGCCCTCCCCATTCTCCCGCTTTCCATCACCCCGCCCCATTCTCTCGCTTTTCATCACCCCACCCCATTCTCCCGCTTTCCATCACCCCGCCCCCTTCTCCCTCCTTCCATCACGCCGCCCCATTCTCCCTCCTTCCATCACCCCGCCCCATTCTCCCACTTTCTATCAGCCCGCCCCATTATCCCGCTTTCCATCACCCCGCCCCTTTCTCCCGCTTTGCATCTCCCCGCCCCATTCTCCCACTTTCCATCACCCCGCCCCATTCTCCCGCTTTCCATCACCCCGCCCCATTCTCCCACTTTCCATCACCCCGCCCCATTCTCCCTCCTTCCATCACCCCGCCTCATTCTACCTCCTTCCATCACCCCGCCCCATGCTCCCGCTTTCCATCATCCCGCCCCATTCTCCCGCTTTTCATCACCCCGCCCCATTCTCCCGCTTTCCATCACCCCGCCCGATTCTCCCGCTTTCCATCACCCCGCCCCATTCTCCCTCCTTCCATCACCCCGCCCCATTCTCCCGCTTTCCATCACCCCGCCCCATGCTCCCGCTTTCCATCACCCCGCCCCATTCTCCCATCACCCCGCCCCATTCTCTCGCTTTCCATCACCACGCCTCATACTCCCGCTTTCCATCACCCCGCCCCATTCTCCCGCTTTCCATCACTCCGCCCCATTCTCCCGCTTTCCATCACCCCGCCCCATTCTCCTGCTTTCCATCACCCCGCCCCATTCACCCGCTTTCCATCACCCGCCCCATTCTCCCACTTTCCATCACCCCGCCCCATTCTCCCACTTTCCATCACCCCGCCCCATTCTCCCGCTTTTCATCACCCCGCCCCATTCTCCCGCTTTCCAACACCCCGCCCTATTCTCCCGCTTTCCATCACCCCGCCCCATTCTCCCGCTTTCCATCACCACGCCCCATTCTCCCGCTTTCCATCACCCTGCCCCATTCTCCCTCCTTCCATCACCCTGCCCCATTCTCCCGCTTTCCGTCACCCCGCCCCATTCTCCCGCTTTCCATCACCTCGCCCCATTCTCCCGCTTTCCATCACCTCGCCCCATTCTTCTGCTTTCCATCAACCCGCCCCATTCTCCCGCTTTCAATCACCCCGCCCCATTCACCCGCATTCCATAACCCGCCCCATTCTCCCGCTTTCCATCACCCCGCCCCGTTCTCCCGCTTTCCATCACCCCGCCCCATCCTCCCGCTTTTCATCACCCCGCCCCATTCTCCCGCTTTCCAACACCCCGCCCCATTCTCCCGCATTCCATGACCCCGCCCCATTCTTCCGCTTTCCATCACCCCGCCCCATTCTCCCGCTTTCCATCGCTCCGCCCCATTCTCCCGCTTTCCATCACCCCGCCCCATTCTCCCGCTTTCCATCAACCCACCCCATTCTCCCTCCTTCCATCACCCCGCCTCAGTCTCCCTCCTTCCATCACCCCGCCCCATTCTCCCGCTTTCCATCACCCCGCCCCATTCTCCTGCTTTCCATCACCCAGCCCCATTCTCGCGCTTTCCATCACCCCGCCCCATTTTCCCCCTTTCCATCACCCCGCCCCGTTCTCCCGCTTTCCATCACCCCGCCCCATTCTCCCGCTTTCCATAACCCCGCCCCATTCTCCCTCCTTTCATCACCCGCCCCATTCTCCCTCCTTCCATCACCCCGCCCCATTCTCCCTCCTTCCATCACCCCGCCCAATTCTTCCTCTTTCCATCACCCCTCCCCATTCTCCCTCTTTCCATCACCCCGCCCCATTCTCCCGCTTTCCATCACCCCGCCCCATTCTCCCTCTTTCTATCACCCCGCCCCATTCTTCCTCTTTCTATCACCCCGCCCCATTCTCCTGCTTTCCATCACCCCGCCCCATTCTCCCTCTTTCCATCACCCCGCCCCATTCTCCCGCTTTCCATCACCCCGCCCCATTCTCCCTCTTTCCATCACCCCGCTCCATTCTCCTGCTTTCCATCACCCCGCCCAATTCTCCCTCTTTCCATCACCCCTCCTCATTCTTCCTCTTTCCATCACCCCGCCCCATTCTCCCGCTTTCCACCACCCCGCTCCATTCTCCCGCTTTCCATCACCCCGCCCAATTCTCCCGCTGTCCATCACCACGCCCCATCTTCCCTCTTTCCATCACCCCGCCCCATTCTCCCACTTTCCATCACCCCACCCCATTCTCTCGCTTTCGATCACCCCGCTCCATTCTCCCGCTTGCCATCACCCCGCCCAATTCTCCCTCTTTCTATCACCCCTCTCCGTTCTCCCTCTTTCCATCATCCCGCCCCATTCTCCCGTCTTTCATCACCCCGCCCCATTCTCCCGCTTTCCATCACCCCGCCCAATTCTCCCGCTTTCCATCACCCCGCCCCATTCTCCCGCCTTCCATCACCCCGCCCCATTCTCCCTCTTTCCATCACCCCGCCCCATACTCACGCTTTCCATCACCCCACCCCATTCTTCCTCTTTCCATCACCCCGCCCCATTCTCCCTCTATCCATCACCCCGCCCAATTCTCCCACTTTCCATCACCCCATCCCATTCTCCCGTTTTCCATCACCCCGCCCCATCTCGCTTTCTATCACCCCGCCTTATTCTCCCGCTTTCCATCACCCCGCCCCATTCTCCGCTTTCCATCACCCCGCCCCATTCTCCCGATTTCCATCACCCCGCCCCATTCTCCCGCTTTCCAACACCCTGCCCCATTCTCCCGCTTTCCATCACCCCACCCCATTCTCACTCTTTCCATCACCACTTCCCATGCTCCCTCTTTCCATCTACCCGCCCCATTCTCCTGCTTTCTATCACCCTGCCCCATTCTCCCTCTTTCCTTCACCCCGCCCCATTCTCCCGCCTTCCATCACCCCGCCCCATTCTCCATCTTTCCATCACCCTGCCCAATTCTCCCCCTTTCCATCACCCCGCCCCATTCTCCCGCCTTCCTTCACCCCGCCCCATTTTCCCTCGTTCCATCACCCCGCTCCATTCTCCCACTTTCCATCACCCCGCCCAATTCTCCCTCGTTCCATCACCCCTCCCCATTCTCCCTCTTTCCATCACCCCGCCCTATTCTCCCGCATTCCATCACCACGCCCCATTCTCCCTCTTTCCACCACCCCGCCCCATTCTCCCTCTTTCCATCACCCCGCCCCATTCTTTCGCTTTCCATCACCCCGCCCCATTCTCCCTCTTTCCATCACCCCGCCCCATTCTCCCGCTTTCCATCACCCCGCCCCATTCTCCCTCTTTCCATCACCCCGCTCCATTCCCCCGCTTTCCATCACCCCGCCCAATTCTCCCTCTTTCCATCACCCCTCCTCATTCTCCCTCTTTCCATCACCCCGCCCCATTCTCCCGCTTTCCACCACCCCGCTCCATTCTCCCGCTTTCCATCACCCCGCCCAATTCTCCCGCTTTCCATCACCACGCCCCATTTTCCCTCTTTCCATCACCCCGCCCCATTCTCCCGCTTTCCATCACCCCGCCCCATTCTCCCGCTTTCCATCACCCCGCTCCATTCTCCCGCTTTCCATCACCCCGCCCAATTCTCCCTCTCTCTATCACCCCTCTCCATTCTCCCTCTTTCAATCACCCCGCCCCATTCTCCCTCTTTCCATCACCCCGCCCCATTTTCTTGCTTCCCATCACCCCGCCCCATTCTCCCTCTTTCTATCACCCCGCCCTATTCTCCCGCTTTCCATCACCCCGCCCCATTCTCCCGCTTTCCATCACCTTGCTCCATTCTCCCGCTTTCCATCACCCCGCCCAATTCTCCCTCTTTCCATCACCCCTCCTCATTCTCCCTCTTTCCATCAACCCGCCCCATTCTCTCGCTTTCCATCACCCCGCACCATTCTCCCTCTTTCAATCACCCCGCCCCATTCTCTCGCTTTCCATCACCCCGCCCCGTTCTCCCGCTTTCCATCACCCCGCCCCATTTTCCCGCTTTCCATCACCCCGCCCCATTCTCCTGCTTTCCATCACCCCGCCCCATTCTCCCTCGTTCCATCACCCCGCCCCATTCTCTCGCTTTCCATCACCCCGCCCCATTCTCCCGCTTTTCATCACCCCGCCCCATTCTCCCGCTTTCCATCACCCCGTCCCATTCTCCCTCTTTCCATCACCCCGCTCCATTCTCCCGCTTTCCATCAACCCGCCCTATTCTCCCTCTTTCCATCACCCCTCCTTATTCTCCCTCTTTCCATCACCCCGCCCTATTCTCCCGCTTTCCATCACCCCGCCCCAGTCTCCCGCTTTCCATCGCCCCGCCCCATTCTCCCGCTTTCCATCACCCCGCCCCATTCTCCCGCTTTCCATCACCCCGCCCCATTCTCCCGCTTTGCATCACCCCGCCCCATTCTCCCGCTTTCCATCACCCTGCCCCATTCTCCCGCTTTCCATCACCCCTCCCCATTCTCCCTCTTTCCATCACCCCGCCCCATTCTCCTGCTTCCCATCACCCCGCCCCATTCTCCCGCTTTCCATCACCCCGCCCCATTCTCCCTCTTTCCATCACCCCGCCCCATTCTCCCGCTTTCCATCTCCCCACCCCATTCTCCTGCTTTCCATCACCCCGTCCAATTCTCCCGCCTCTTTCCATCACCCCGCCCCATTCTCCCGCTTTCCATCACCGCGCCCCATTCTCCCGCTTTCCATCACCCCGCCCCCATTCTCCCGCTTCCCATCACCCCGCCCCGTTCTCCCACTTACCATCACCCCGCCCCATTCTCCAGCATTCCATCACCGCGCCCCATTCTCCTGCTTTCCATCACCCCGCCCCATTCTCCCTCTTTCCATCACCCCGCCCCATTCTCCCTCTTTCCATCACCCCGCCCCATTCTCCCGCTTTCCATCACCCCGCCCCATTCTCCCGCTTTCCATCACCCCGCCCCATTCTCCCGCTGTCCATCACCCCGCCCCATTCTCCCGGTTTCCATCACCCTGCCCCATTCTCTCGCTTTCCATCACTCTGCCCCATTCTACCTCTTTCTATCACCCCGCCCCATTCTCCCTCTTTCCATCACCCCGCCCCATTCTCTCGCCTCTTTCCATCACCCCGCCCCATTCTCCCGCTTTCCATCACTCCGCCTCATTCTTCCGCTTTCCATCACCCTGCCCCATTCTCCTGCTTTCCATCACCCCGCCCCATTCTCCAACTTTCCATCACCCCGCCCCATTCTCCCGCTTTCCATCAATCCGACCCATTCTCCCGCTTTCCATCACCCCGCCCCATTCTCCCTCTTTCGATCACCCGCCCCATTCTCCCGCTTTCCTTCACCCCGCCCCATTCTTTCGCCTCTTTCCATCACCCCGCCCCATTCTCCCGCTTTCCATCACCCCGCCCCATTCTCCCGCTTTCCATCACCCCGCCCCATTCTCCAGCTTTCCATCACCCCGCCCCATTCTCCCTCTTTCCATCACCCTTCCCCATTCTCCCTCTATCCATCACCCCACCCAATTCTCCCGCTTTCTATCACCCCGTCCCGTTCTCCCGCTTTCCATCACCCCGCCCCATTCTTTTGTGTTCCATCACCCCACCCCATCCTCCCCTCTTTCCACCACCCCACCCCATTCTCCCGATTTCTATCACCCCGCCCCATTCTCCCTCTTTCCATCACCCCGCCCCATTCTCCCGCTTTCCATCACCCCGCCCCATTCTCCCTCTTTCAATCACCCCGCCCCATTCTCTCGCTTTTGTTATAATCACAGTAGGCTCCAATGTGCCTAAAACGAAAGATAGAGTGCACAGTCGGATTTCTGCACAGCGGCTTCAAACGTTCATAGCGTTTTGGTCACAGCTTCAAATGATTTGATTCAACTTGGATCTGGTGCGCCTTATTGCCGCCTACAATCGCACGATTTGACCAAGTATTGACGACACAGGGTTGGTTTGAACGAACGGCACTATGGCAGCCACTATGGTCTTAGAACACAAGATAGGAAGAGTTAGGAAGAGTTACGAGTTGGGAATGACTCCCAGCTCCTACAAACCCCAAGAGCCGGGGTACAGTGATGTGGAACAGTGCCACACTGTCGCCAACCACGAAGGGTCTCGAAACTACCCTTCACTAGGGCCCACACTACACAAAGTAATGTAACTATCTTCAATATCTTGAGGTGTACCCTTTTGGCGAGCTTTGAAGTCACTTGTGGATTGACACCAAGGCTCGGCTCTTCATCACAAACTCATCCTTGAGTTCTTGATGGGTCTGCTGCACACACCTGCGACACACCGAACGTTCGACACAGGACAAAAGAGAAACCGCGCACGACAAAATAGAAACCGCGCGCGAGACACAAACGACCGCGTAACACGCGTCTAGCGATAACTCGCTATTGACTCGACACATACACTCGACATCATGACTCAACATTCACACACAATTATAAGCATTAAATATATATTATCCCATGCCCTCATACCATTCCATAGACACACACACATGCACGCACACGGACAACAAGCCGAGTGCAAACCATAGGGTTGCACCAACAGCTTTCCATCACCCCTCCCCGTTCTCCCGCTTTCCATCACCCCGCCCCATTTTCCCGCTTTCCATCACCCCGCCCCATTCTCCTGCTTTCCATCACCCCGCCCCATTCTCCCTCATTCCATCACCTCGCCCCATTCTCTCGCTTTCCATCACCCCGCCCCATTCTCCCGCTTTTCATCACCCCGCCCCATTCTCCAGCTTTCCATCACCCCGTCCCATTCTCCCTCTTTCCATCACCCCGCTCCATTCTCCCGCTTTCCATCACCCCGCCCTATTCTCCCTCTTTCCATCACCCCTCCCTATTCTCCCTCTTCCATCACCCCGCCCTATTCTCCCGCTTTCCATCACCCCGCCCCATTCTCCCGCTTTCCATCACCCCGCCCCGCTCTCCCGCTTTCCATCACCCCGCCCCATTCTCCCGATTTCCATCACCCGGCCCCATTCTCCCTTTTCCCATCACCCCGCCCCATTCTCCCTCTTTCCATCACCCCGCCCCGTTCTCCCGCTTTCCATCACCCCGCTCTGTTCTCCCGCTTTCCATCACCCCGACCCATTCTCCCCCTTTCCATCAACCCGCCACATTCTCCCGCTTTCCATCACCGTGCCCCATTCTCCCTCTTTCCATCACCCCGCCCCGTTCTCCCGCTTACCATCACCCCGCCCCATTCTCCCGCTTTCCATCACCCCGCCCCATTCTCCCTCTTTCCATCACCCCGCCCCATTCTCCCTGTTTCCATCTCCCCACCCCATTCTCCCGATTTCCATCACCCCTTCCCATTCTCCCGCTTTCCATCACCCCGCCCCATTCTCCCGCTTTCCATCACCCTGCCCCATTCTCCCGCTTCCCATCACCCCGGCCCATTCTCCCGCTTTCCATCACCCCGCCCCATTCTCCCGCTTTCCATCACCCCGCCCCATTCTCCCTCCTTCCATCACCCCGCCTCATTCTCCCGCTTTTCATCACCCCGCCCCATTCTCCCGCTTTCCATCACCCCGCCCCATTCTCCCGATTTCCATCACCCGGCCCCATTCTCCCGCTTTCCATCACCCCGCCCCATTCTCCCTCTTTCCAACACCCCGCCATGTTCTCCCGCTCTCCAGCACCCCGCTCTGTTCTCCCGCTTTCCATCACCCCGACCCATTCTCCCCCTTTCCATCAACCCGCCACATTCTCCCGCTTTCCATCACCGCGCCCCATTCTCCCTCTTTCCATCACCCCGCCCCGTTCTCCCGCTTACCATCACCCCGCCCCATTCTCCCGCTTTCCATCACCCCGCCCCATTCTCCCTCTTTCCATCACCCCGCCCCTTTCTCCCTGTTTCCATCACCCCGCCCCATTCTCCCGATTTCCATCACCCCTTCCCATTCTCCCGCTTTCCATCACCCCGCCCCATTCTCCCGCTTTCCATCACTCCACCCCATTCTCCCGCTTTCCATCACCCCGCCCCATTCTCCCGCTTTCCACCACCCTGCCCCATTCTCCCGCTTCCCATCACCCCGGCCCATTCTCCCGCTTTCCATCACCCCGCCCCATTCTCCCGCTTTCCATCACCCCGCCCCATTCTCCCTCCTTCCATCACCCCGCCTCATTCTCCCGCTTTCCATCACCCCGCCCCATTCTCCCGCTTTCCATAACCCCGCCGCATTCTCCCGCTTTCCATCACCCAGCCACATTCTCCCACTTTCCATCAGCCCGCCCCATTCTCCCTCCTTCCATCGCCCTGCCCCATTCTCCCTCCTTCCATCATCCCGCCCCATTCTCCCTCCTTCCATAACCTCGCCCCATTTTCCCGCTTTCTATCAGCCCGCCCCATTCCACCGCTTTCCATCACCCCGCCCCATTCTCGAGCTTTCCATAACCCGCCCCATATTCCCGCTTTCCATCACCCCGCCCCATTCTCCAGCTTTCCATCAGCCGCCCCATTCTCCCGCTTTCCATCACCCCGCCTCATTCTCCCGATTCCCATCACCCCGCCCCATTCTCCCGCTTTCCATCACCCCGCCCCATTCTACCACTTTCCATCACCCCGCCCCTTTCTCCCGCTTTCCATCACCCTGCCCCATTCTCCCGCTTTCCATCAACCTGCCCCATTCTCCCGCTTTCCATAACCCTGCCCGATTCTCCCTCCTTCTATCACCCCACCCCATTCTCCCGCTTTCCATCACCCCGCCTTATTCTCCTGCTCTCCATCACCCCGCACCATTCGCCTGCTTTCCATCACCCCTCCCCGTTCTCCTGCTTTCCACCACCCCGCCCCCATTCTCCCTCCTTCCATGACCCCGCCCCATTCTCCCTCCATCCATCACCCCACCCTATTCTCCCAATTTCCATCACCCCACCCCATTCTCCCGCTTTCCATCACCCCGCCTTACTCTCCCGCTTTCCATCACACGCCCATTCTCCCGCTTTCCATCACCCCGCACCATTCTCCCGCTTTTCATTACCTCGCCCCATTTTCCCGCTTCCCATCATCTCGCCCCATTCTCCCGCTTCCATCACCCTGCCCCATTCTCCCTCCTTCCATCACCCCACCCCATTCTCCCGCTTTCCATCACCTCGCCCCATTCTCCCGCTTTCCATCACCCCGCCCCATTCTCCCGCTTTCCATCACCCCACCCCATTCTCCTGCTTTCCATCACCCGCCCCATTCTCCCGCTTTCCATCACCCCACCCCAGTCTCCCGCTTTCCATCACCCAGCCCTATTCTCCCGCTTTCCATCACCCCGCCCCATTCTCCCGCTTTCCATCACCCCACCCCATTCTCCCGCTTTCCATCATCCCGCCCCATTCTCCCGCTTTCCTTCACCCCTCCCCATTCTCCCGCTTTCCATCACCCCGCCCCATTCTCCCGCTTTCAATCACCCCACCCCATTCTCCCGCTTTCCATCACTCCGCCCCATTCTCCCTCCTTCCATCACCCCGCCCCATTCTCCCGCTTTCCATCACCCCGCCCCATTCTTCTCCTTCCATCACCCCGCCTCATTCTACCTCCTTCCATCACCCCGCCCCATTCTCCCGCTTTCCATCACCCCGCCCCATTCTCCCGCTTTCCATCACCCCGCCCCATTCTCCCGCTTTCCATCACCACGCCCCATTCTCCCGCTTTCCATCACCCCGCCCCATTCTCCCTCCTTCCATCACCCTGCCCCATTCTCCCGCTTTCCGTCACCCCGCCCCATTCTCCCGCTTTCCATCACCTCGCCCCATTCTTCTGCTTTCCATCAACCCGCCCCATTCTCCCGCTTTCAATCACCCCGCCCCATTCACCCGCATTCCATAACCCGCCCCATTCTCCCGCTTTCCATCACCCCGCCCCGTTCTCCCGCTTTCCATCACTCCGCCCCATCCTCCCGCTTTTCATCACCCCGCCCCATTCTCCCGCTTTCCAACACCCCGCCCCGTTCTCCCGCTTTCCATCACCCCGCCCCATTCTCCCGCTTTCCATCACCCCGCCCCATTCTCCCGCTTTCCATCACTCCGCCCCATTCTCCCGCTTTCCATCACCCCGCCCCATTCTCCCGCTTTCCATCAACCCGCCCCATTCTCCCTCCTTCCATCACCCCGCCTTATTCTCCCTCCTTCCATCACCCCGCCCCATTCTCCCGCTTTCCATCACCCCGCCCCATTCTCCTGCTTTCCATCACCCAGCCCCATTCTCGCGCTTTCCATCACCCCGCCCCATTTTCCCGCTTTCCATCACCCCGCCCCATTCTCCCGCTTTCCATCACCCTGCCCCAATCTCCTGGTTTCCATCATCCCGCCCCATTCTCCCTCCTTCCATCACCCCGCCCCATTCTCCCGCTTTCCAACACCCCGCCCCATTCTCCTGCTTTCCATAACCCCGCCCCATTCTCCCTCCTTTCATCACCCGCCCCATTCTCCCTCCTTCCATCACCCCGCCCCATTCTCCCTCCTTCCATCACCCCGCCCCATTCTTCCACTTTCCATCGGCCCGCCCCATTCTCCCGCTTTCCATCACCCCGCCTCATTCTCCCGCTTTCCATCACCCCGCCCCATTCTCCCGCTTTCCATCACCCTGCCCCATTCTCCCGCTTTCCATCAGCCCACCCCATTCTCCCGCTTTCCATCACCCCGCCCCATTCTCCCGCTTTCCATCACCCTGCCCCATTCTCCCTCCTTCCATCACCCCGCCTCATTCTACCTCCTTCCATCACCCCTGTTATAGTCACAGTAGGCTCCAATGTGCCTAAAAGGAAAGATAGAGTGCACAGTCGGATTTCTGCAAAGTGGCTTCAAACGTTCATAGCGTTTTGGTCACAGCTTCAAATGACTTGATTCAACTTGGATCTGGAGCGTCTTGTTGTCGCCTACAATAGTCAATTTAGATCGCACGATTTGACCAAGTATTGACGACACAGGGTTGGTTTGAACGAACGGCACTATGGCAGCCACTATAGTCTTAGAACACAAGATAGGAAGAGTTAGGAAGAGTTACGAGTTGGGAATGACTCCCAGCTCCTACAAACCCCAAGAGCCGAGGTACAGTGATGTGGAACAGTGCCACACTGTCCCCAACCACGAAGGGTCTCGAAACTACCCTTCACTAGGGCCTACACCAAGTGAAATGTTACACTACACAAAGTAATGTAACTATCTTCAATATCTTGAGGTGTACCCTTTTGGCGAGCTTTGAAATCACTTGTGGATTGACACCAAGGCTCGGCTCTTCATCACAAACTCATCCTTGAGTTCTTGATGGGTCTGCTGCACACACCTGCGACACATCGAACGTTCGACACAGGACAAAAGAGAAACTGCGCACGACAAAATAGAAACCGCGCGCGAGACACAAACGACCGCGTAACACGCGTCTAGCCATAACTCGCTATTGACTCAACACATACACTCGACATCATGACTCAACATTCACACACAATTATAAGCATTAAATATATATTATCCCATGCCCTCATACCATTTCATAGACACACACACATGCACGCACACGGACAACAAGCCGAGTGCAAACCATAGGGTTGCACCAACAAACTCCCCCTCGGATTGTTGGCCTTAGGATATGTTGCTCTGTCAGTTCAGAGCCATCCCAGCCAGCTTGCAACACTTCCAATGCTGCTGCTCCACCAGCCTCTTGGTCATCATGTCAGCTGGCTGCCCCGTGGTCTTCACGTAGCGCAACTCAACTTCACCCGCGGTTACCATGCTCCTCCTCCAATGCCACTTCACCCTCATGTGCTTCGTGAGTCCATGCAACACAGGGTTCTTAGCAAGAGCAATGGCACCCTGGCTGTCACAATATAGTGGGGTAGGTCCTTGCTACTCCTCCCCCAATTCAGCCAACAAACGCCGCTGCCACACAATCTCCCGTACGGCACGGAAGAGTGCCATGTACTCGGACTCCACCGAGCTCAAAGCTTGGTCAACCTGCTTCTTGCTCTCCCAAGCAGTTGGGCCTCCACCAACACAGCATATGAAGCCTCCCACACTCTGCCACTACCATCATCAAACCCCTCTGGCTGCGCCATGAAAAACTCCTCCTCAAGGATGCTGTTGAGGAATGCCGTCATAATGTCCATTTGCTTCACCACCCATCCTTTGATGGCGGCTCCCGCGAATAGGCTTCGCAGCGTCCTCGGCTTCACCACAGGGGCAAACAGCTCCTTGAAGTCCACCTTCTCCTTCTGCTGGTACCCCTTGGCTACAAGCCTAGACTTGTAACGCTCGATCTTGCCGTCGGCATCCGACTTGATTTTGAAGAGCCACTTGGACGTTATCGCCGTACGCCCCTCCGGTAGCTCCACCAGTTCAAACGTGTCATTCTCCTCGATGCTCTTCAGCTCACTCTCCATGGCCTTCTTCCACTCCTCAGCATCACTACTCTCCAAAGCCTCCTTGAGAGTTGCTGGTTCTCCCGGCATCTCCACCGGAGAGAAGAACGCGAAGGCACACTCCTCGTAGTCACTCTCCTCATCGTCTCCGACCATCATTGCCGCTCCGGCCAGGGCTGTCTTGCCTTGCTTTCCAAGTGCATCATAGGTCAGCCTATTAGGGGGTTGAATTCTCCTCTTCCCCCTTCCTTCCTCCTCAGCTGCAGGGACTTGAAGGCCTTGGCGTTGCTGCGGTGTGGCTCGATTCCGTGGAGCACTCGTGGTACGGGAAGGGAGTGACGGTGCACGCTCGCTCACTTGCTGCACCTCCTCCTCTTCTTCCTCTGCATCAGTGGCCTCCTCTCCCCCATTCACAAGGGAGGATTGCCTCGTGGTTGTGCTGCCGCTGCTCAGCTCCAAAGGCAGCTCCACATGCTCCAAACCGGAACTCTTCACCTCCCCAAACCGCACGCCTATCTTCGCCTCATTCTCCGCCTTCCAATCCTTGTACATGAAGTTCTCCATGAACTTGCAGTCCCTGCTCACCAAGAACTTCTTGGTGAATGGGTCCCAAAGAAGCCATCCCTTGCTGTTTTGAGCCATGCCCAAGTGCACGGCCCACACCGCCTTGGCACCAAGCTTGTTGTGCCGAAGATGCTTAGGCACAAGCGCCATGCACATGCACCCGAACACCCGAAGCATATCCACCTTTGGCTTCCTTCCTAGCCACTCCACATAGGGCACCCATTTGTCTGCTCCCACATGAGTCAAGGCTCTGTTCTTGGCCACACATGCGCTCCGCACCGCATCAGGCCAGAAATAGTCGGGTAGCCCGGCTTCAATGAGCAACCCGCGTGCCGCCTCCGTGATTGTGCGGTTCGCTCGCTCAGCGATGCCGTTCATTGCAGGGGAGTATGGCATGGTGAGGGAGTGCCGAATACCATTCTTCTTCAGCCACAACCCAAACTCCTTGCTCAGGAACTCTCCCCCTCGATCGGTGCGGATTGACTTGACTAGACGGTCTTGTTGCCGCTCCACCATCGGGAACCAATCCGCCTTCAACGTTTCAGCCACGTCGCTCTTCCTGGCCAGCACGTACACCCAAGTCATACGGGTGTAGACGTCCACAATAGTGAGGAAGTACTCAGCTCTAGCAGCTCCAAGCTTCAGGGGGCCCACCACGTCCATCACCACCTCATCAAGTGGTGCCTTAGCCGTTGCCTCCGAACTAGAGAATGGGAAACGGGTGAACTTGGCTTCCATGCACGTCGGGCAGCCAAGTACCTCATCGGGCTCCCCCTTCACACGTATGCCAGCAACCATCTCATTCTTCACTAGCTGCTGCAAGATGGGCAGGGCCACATGCCCCATGCGCCGATGCAAGGTGAGCCAATCACACTCCCCCGTAGCCGAAGTTGGATTCGAAAATGCCGCGCTCGCAATAGCGCCCCACATACTCTCTCCGTTGTCCTCCTCCGCTGTTGCCTCGGGGTTCTCCTCACCCTTTTGCTGCTCCTTGGTTGCTGCACCACTCTCCTTAGGTTCACTAAACTTGCTGGTCCCTCCAAGATTGCACTTCTTGGACTCCTTCTCCTTAGCGCGACCGTCCGCGCAATTGCCGCTACCAACCGCTCCACCTTTAGTGCTGACGCTTGCTGCCACTTGCCTCTCCTTAGGCATTGGGACCACAGGGATCTGCCACATCTCGTTGTAGACATCTCTGTCCTCATGAAGGTCCCAAAGAATCCGATCGCCAAGCCTTGCGGTGTAGGTCTTGGCTCCCTTCGAGTTAGTGTCCATGCCGGCCTTTGCCAACCGCCGCACGGAAATCAGGTTCGCAGCAAGGCTGGGCACCCAAAGCACGTTCTTGAGGCCCACCATCTTCCCATCAGCACCCTTGAACATGGCCTTCCCCATGCCTTTTACCTCTGCTCGCTGCCCCAAAGCCGATGTGACATGCTTCACCGATGACGGTTCAAGTTCGGTGAGCAAGTCCGGGCGAGGTGTCATGCTATAGGTAGCGCCACTGTCGATCACCCAATAGTCCAGGGGGTGTAGGGTCACCTTCCCTACAGCTGCTGGCTCCTCAAGGTCTTCATCCTTCTCTGGACCAGCCGGTACTTGCGTCGACACGAAGTAGAATAGGCCCGGGTACCGATCGCCGCTCGGGTCCTTGTCGTTATCTTCGCTCTTCACATTTGCAGCACCGCCACCGCGACCGCCACGGCCTCTTCCTCTCCCTCCTCCTGCTCCTTTACCCTCTTGGCCTTGAGCAGGGGTCCATCCTTCAGGGAGTTTGAAGCAATCGCGCCACATATGTCCGCTCTTGCCGCAATAATGACATTCGCCGTCGAATCGACCGCGACCGCGTCCGTAGCTCTTGTCGTCGCTGCCGTAACTGCCGTTCCCGCGGCCTCCACTGAAGTTGCCGCCACCAGATCTTCCTCCCCCTCGTCCTCTGCCTCTTCCTTGGCCATATCCACGGCCGATGCTAGCTGCCCCAGCGCCATCCGCACTCGCCAACTCACGGCGGCGGAAGTCCTCTTGTAGGATCGCGCGCTTCACGCCTTCAAGCGAGAGACGGGGCAGGTCACGGTTCAAATTGATGATGAGCGAGGACCACGACTCGGTGAGTAAGGCCAGCAACTTGGTCTTCTTCTGGAGCTCACTGTAGTTCAAATCAGCTCCCTCAAGCCGCGTTAACAAGTCGAAGAATCTCTGCACCCCGTCTTCCACGGGTTCATCTTCCTCAATTCGTAGCGTCGCCATTTGCCGTTCCAACACCACAGCTACCGCCGCTGTTGCAGGAGCGTGTACACCCTTGAGAGCAGCCCATGCCTTTTGTCCTTTCTCTGGTTCATGCTGGAAAGGCTTGATGTGACGGATCTGGTTGCTCCCCAACGCTTGCCCAAGTAGAAGATAGCCTTGTGCGCTCTTCCGCACCCACAGGCTCTTCTCCGGGTCGTTCTCGGGACGCTTCTCCGTTCCTTCCATCACCTCCAGCAGGTCATAATGGTCGAACACGTTCTCCATTCTGAAGGACCATTCAGCAAAGTTGTCGCCGTTGAACTTGTCAAGCCCGAACGCTCTTGGTTCATCCCTAGAAGGTCCAAGAGTAGGCTGCACGGGCGCCACGGCTGAATCACGGGCTTGGCCTTGTGCTTGGGCATCTCCATTGCCACCAGCACCTCTGCCACCCCTTTCTCCAGGTCCAGTCATAGTCGTAGCTGCTCCAAGGGGCTCTGATACCACTTGTTATAGTCACAGTAGGCTTCAATGTGCCTAAAACTAAGGATAGAGTGCACAGTCGGATTTCTGCACAGCGGCTTTAAACGTTCATAGCGATCTGCTCACAACTCCAAATGACTTCATTCAACTTGGATCTGGAGCTCCCTAACGTCGCCTACAATAAGCAATTTAGATCGCACGATATCATCAAGATTTGACGACACAGCGACGGTTTGAACGAACAGCACTATGGCAGCAACATAGTCTTAGAACGCAACTTAGGAAGAGTTAGCAAGAGTTACGAGTTGGGAATGACTCCCAGCTCCTACAAACCCCAAGAGCCGAGGTACAGTGATGTGGAACAGTGCCACACTGTCCCCAACCACGAAGGATCTCGAAACTACCCTTCACTAGGGTCTACACCAACTGAAATGTTACACTACACGTTGTAATGTAACGAATCTTGATATCTTGAGGTGTACCCTTTTCGCGGACTTCGCGAACACTTGAATGTTGACACCAGGGCTCGGGTTCTTCATCACAAACTCATCCTTGAGTTCTTGATAGGTGTGCTGCACACACATGCGACACGCCGAACGTTCGACAAGCGACAAGATAGAAACCGCGCACGACAAAATAGAAACCGCGCGGGACACACAAAATGACCGCGTTACACGCGACTAGCGATAACTCGCTATTGACTTGACACACACACTCAATATCATGACCCATCATACACACACTATTGTAAGCATGAAATATATATTATCCCATGCCCTCATACCATTCCATGCACACACGCATGCACGCACACGGACAACAAGCCGAGTGCAAACCGTAGGTTGCACCAACAATTCTCCCGCTTTCCATCACCCCGCTCCATTGTCCCGCTTTCCACCACCCCGCCCAATTCTCCCTCTTTCCATCACCCCTCCCCATTCTCCCTCTTTCCATCACCCCGCCCCATTCTCCCGCTTTCCATCACCCCGCCCCATTCTCCCTCTTTCCATCACCCCGCCCCATTCTCCCGCTTTCTATCACCCCGCCCCATTTTCCCGCTTTCCATCACCCCTTTCCATTCTCCTGCTTTCCATCACCCCGCCCCATTCTCCCGCTTTCCATCATCCCGCCCCATTCTCCCTCTTTCCATCACCCCGCCCCATTCTCCCGCTTTCCATCACCCCGCCCCATTCTTCCGCTTTCCATCATCCCGCCCCATTCTCCCGCTTTCCATCACCCCGCCCCATTCTCCCGCTTTCCATCACCCCGCCCCATTCTCCCGCTTTCCATCACCCCGCCCCATTCTCCCGCTTTCCATCACCCCGCCCCATTCTCCCGCTTTTCATCACCCCGCCCCATTCTCCCGCTTTCCATCACCCCGCCCTATTCTCCCTATTTCCATCACCCCTCCCTATTCTCCCTCTTTCCATCACCCCGCCCTATTCTCCCGCTTTCCATCACCCCGCCCCATTCTCCCGCTTTCCATCACCCCGCCCCATTCTCCCGCTTTCCATCACCCCGCCCCATTCTCCCGCTTTCCATCACCCCGCCCCATTCTCCCGCTTTGCATCACCCCGCCCCATTCTCCCGCTTTCCATCACCCCGCCCCATTCTCCCGCTTTCCATCACCCCTCCCCATTCTCCCTCTTTCCATCACCCCGCCCCATTCTCCTGCTTCCCATCACCCCGCCCCATTCTCCCGCTTTCCATCACCCCGCCCCATTCTCCCTCTTTCCATCACCCCGCCCCATTCTCCCGCTTTCCATCTCCTCACCCCATTCTCCTGCTTTCCATCACCCCGTCCCATTCTCCCGCCTCTTTCCATCACCCCGCCCCATTCTCCCGCTTTCCATCACCGCGCCCCATTCTCCTGCTTTCCATCACCCCGCCCCCATTCTCCCGCTTCCCATCACCCCGCCCCGTTCTCCCACTTTCCATCACCCCGCCCCATTCTCCAGCATTCCATCACCGCGCCCCATTCTCCTGCTTTCCATCACCCCGCCCCATTCTCCCTCTTTCCATCACCCCGCCCCATTCTCCCTCTTTCCATCACCCCGCCCCATTCTCCCGCTTTCCATCACCCCGCCCCATTCTCCCGCTTTCCATCATCCCGCCCCATTCTCCCGCTTTCCATCACCCCGCCCCATTCTCCCGCTTTGCATCACCCCGCCCCATTCTCCCGCTTTCCATCACCCCGCCCCATTCTCCCGCTTTCCATCACCCCTCCCCATTCTCCCTCTTTCCATCACCCCGCCCCATTCTCCTGCTTTCCGTCACCCCGCCCCATTCTCCCGCTTTCCATCACCCCGCCCCATTCTCCCTCTTTCCATCACCCCGCCCCATTCTCCCGCTTTCCATCTCCCCACCCCATTCTCCTGCTTTCCATCACCCCGTCCCATTCTCCCTCCTCTTTCCATCACCCCGCCCCATTCTCCCGCTTTCCATCACCGCGCCCCATTCTCTCGCTTTCCATCACCCCGCCCCCATTCTCCCGCTTTCCATCACCCCGCCCCGTTCTCCCACTTTCCATCACCCCGCCCCATTCTCCCGCTTTCCATCACCCCGCCCCATTCTCCCGCTTTCCATCACCCCGCCCCATTCTCCAACTTTCCATCACCCCACCCCATTCTCCCGCTTTCCATCAACCCGACCCATTCTCCCGCTTTCCATCACCCCGCCCCATTCTCCCTCTTTCGATCACCCGCCCCATTCTCCCGCTTTCCTTCACCCCGCCCCATTCTTTCGCCTCTTTCCATCACCCCGCCCCATTCTCCCGCTTTCCATCACCCCGCCCCATTCTCCCGCTTTCCATCACCCCGCCCCATTCTCCAGCTTTCCATCACCCCGCCCCATTCTCCCTCTTTCCATCACCGTTCCCCATTCTCCCTCTATCCGTCACCCCACCCAATTATCCCGCTTTCCATCACCCCGTCTCATTCTCCCGCTTTCCATCACCTCGCCCCATTCTTTTGCGTTCCATCACCCCACCCCATCCTCCCCTCTTTCCATCATCCCGCCCCATTCTCCCGATTTCTATCACCCCGCCCCATTCTCCCTCTTTCCATCACCCCGCCCCATTCTCCCGCTTTCCATCACCCCGCCCCATTCTCCCGCTTTCCATCATCCCGCCCCATTCTCCCGCTTTCCATCACCCCGCCCCATTCTCCCGCTTTGCATCACCCCGCCCCATTCTCCCGCTTTCCATCACCCCGCCCCATTCTCCCGCTTTCCATCACCCCTCCCCATTCTCCCTCTTTCCATCACCCCGCCCCATTCTCCTGCTTTCCGTCACCCCGCCCCATTCTCCCGCTTTCCATCACCCCGCCCCATTCTCCCTCTTTCCATCACCCCGCCCCATTCTCCCGCTTTCCATCTCCCCACCCCATTCTCCTGCTTTCCATCACCCCGTCCCATTCTCCCTCCTCTTTCCATCACCCCGCCCCATTCTCCCGCTTTCCATCACCGCGCCCCATTCTCTCGCTTTCCATCACCCCGCCCCCATTCTCCCGCTTCCCATCACCCCGCCCCGTTCTCCCACTTTCCATCACCCCGCCCCATTCTCCCGCTTTCCATCACCCCGCCCCATTCTCCCGCTTTCCATCACCCCGCCCCATTCTCCAACTTTCCATCACCCCACCCCATTCTCCCGCTTTCCATCAACCCGACCCATTCTCCCGCTTTCCATCACCCCGCCCCATTCTCCCTCTTTCGATCACCCGCCCCATTCTCCCGCTTTCCTTCACCCCGCCCCATTCTTTCGCCTCTTTCCATCACCCCGCCCCATTCTCCCGCTTTCCATCACCCCGCCCCATTCTCCCGCTTTCCATCACCCCGCCCCATTCTCCAGCTTTCCATCACCCCGCCCCATTCTCCCTCTTTCCATCACCGTTCCCCATTCTCCCTCTATCCGTCACCCCACCCAATTATCCCGCTTTCCATCACCCCGTCTCATTCTCCCGCTTTCCATCACCTCGCCCCATTCTTTTGCGTTCCATCACCCCACCCCATCCTCCCCTCTTTCCATCATCCCGCCCCATTCTCCCGATTTCTATCACCCCGCCCCATTCTCCCTCTTTCCATCACCCCGCCCCATTCTCCCGCTTTCCATCACCCCGCCCCATTCTCCCTCTTTCAATCACCCCGCCCCATTCTCTCGCTTTCCATCACCCCGCCCCGTTCTCCCGCTTTCCATCACCCCGCCCCATTTTCCCGCTTTCCATCACCCCGCCCCATTCTCCTGCTTTCCATCACCCCGCCCCATTCTCCCTCATTCCATCACCCCGCCCCATTCTCTCGCTTTCCATCACCCCGCCCCATTCTCCCGCTTTTCATCACCCCGCCCCATTCTCCCGCTTTCCATCACCCCGCCCCATTCTCCCTCTTTCAATCACCCCGCCCCATTCTCTCGCTTTCCATCACCCCGCCCCGTTCTCCCGCTTTCCATCACCCCGCCCCATTCTCCCGCTTTTCATCACCCCGCCCCACTCTCCCGCTTTCCATCACCCCGCCCCATTCTCCCGCTTTTCATCACCCCGCCCCATTCTCCCGCTTTCCATCACCCCGCCCTATTCTCCCTATTTCCATCACCCCTCCCTATTCTCCCTCTTTCCATCACCCCGCCCTATTCTCCCGCTTTCCATCACCCCGCCCCATTCTCCCGCTCTCCATCACCTCGCCCCATTCTCCCGCTTTCCATCACCCCGCCCCATTCTCCCGCTTTCCATCACCCCGCCCCATTCTCCCGCTTTGCATCACCCCGCCCCATTCTCCCGCTTTCCATCACCCCGCCCCATTCTCCCGCTTTCCATCACCCCTCCCCATTCTCCCTCTTTCCATCACCCCGCCCCATTCTCCTGCTTCCCATCACCCCGCCCCATTCTCCCGCTTTCCATCACCCCGCCCCATTCTCCCTCTTTCCATCACCCCGCCCCATTCTCCCGCTTTCCATCTCCTCACCCCATTCTCCTGCTTTCCATCACCCCGTCCCATTCTCCCGCCTCTTTCCATCACCCCGCCCCATTCTCCCGCTTTCCATCACCGCGCCCCATTCTCCTGCTTTCCATCACCCCGCCCCCATTCTCCCGCTTCCCATCACCCCGCCCCGTTCTCCCACTTTCCATCACCCCGCCCCATTCTCCAGCATTCCATCACCGCGCCCCATTCTCCTGCTTTCCATCACCCCGCCCCATTCTCCCTCTTTCCATCACCCCGCCCCATTCTCCCTCTTTCCATCACCCCGCCCCATTCTCCCGCTTTCCATCACCCCACCCCATTCTCCCCCTTTCCATCACCCCGCCCCATTCTCCCGCTTTCCATCACCCCGCCCCATTCTCCCGGTTGCCATCACCCCGCCCCATTCTCCCGGTTTCCATCACCCTGCCCCATTCTCTCGCTTTCCATCACTCTGCCCCATTCTACCTCTTTCTATCACCCCGCCCCATTCTCCCTCTTTCCATCACCCCGCCCCATTCTCCCGATTTCCATCACCCCGCCCCATTCTCTCGCCTCTTTCCATCACCCCGCCCCATTCTCCTGCTTTCCATCACTCCGCCCCTTTCTCCCGCTTTCCTTCATGCCGCCCCATTCTCCCGCTTTCCATCACCCCGCCCCATTCTCCAACTTTCCATCACCCCACCCCATTCTCCCGCTTTCCATCAACCCGACCCATTCTCCCGCTTTCCATCACCCCGCCCCATTCTCCCTCTTTCGATCACCCGCCCCATTCTCCCGCTTTCCTTCACCCCGCCCCATTCTTTCGCCTCTTTCCATCACCCCGCCCCATTCTCCCGCTTTCCATCACCCCGCCCCATTCTCCCGCTTTCCATCACCCCGCCCCATTCTCCAGCTTTCCATCACCCCGCCCCATTCTCCCTCTTTCCATCACCCTTCCCCATTCTCCCTCTATCCATCACCCCACCCAATTCTCCCGCTTTCCATCACCCCGTCCCATTCTCCCGCTTTCCATCACCCCGCCCCATTCTTTTGTGTTCCATCACCCCACCCCATCCTCCCCTCTTTCCATCACCCCGCCCCATTCTCCCGATTTCTATCACCCCGCCCCATTCTCCCTCTTTCCATCATCCCGCCCCATTCTCCCGCTTTCCATCACCCCGCCCCATTCTCCCTCTTTCAATCACCCCGCCCCATTCTCTCGCTTTCCATCACCCCGCCCCGATCTCCCGCTTTCCATCACCCCGCCCCATTTTCCCGCTTTCCATCACCCCGCCCCATTCTCCTGCTTTCCATCACCCTGCCCCATTCTCCCTCATTCCATCACCCCGCCCCATTCTCTCGCTTTCCATCATCCCGCCCCATTCTCCCGCTTTTCATCACCCCGCCCCATTCTCCCGCTTTCCATCACCCCGTCCCATTCTCCCTCTTTCCATCACCCCGCTCCATTCTCCCGCTTTCCATCACCCCGCCCTATTCTCCCTCTTTCCATCACCCCTCCCTATTCTCCCTCTTTCCATCACCCCGCCCTATTCTCCCGCTTTCCATCACCCCGCCCCATTCTCCCGCTTTCCATCACCCCGCCCCATTCTCCCGCTTTCCATCACCCCGCCCCATTGTCCCGCTTTCCATCACCCCGCCCCATTCTACCGCTTTCCATCACCCCGCCCCATTCTCCCTCTTTCCATCACCCCGCCCCGTTCTCCCGCTTTCCATCACCCCGCTCCGTTCTCCCGCTTTCCATCACCCCGACCCATTCTCCCCCTTTCCATCAACCCGCCACATTCTCCCGCTTTCCATCACCGCACCCCATTCTCCCTCTTTCCATCACCCCGCCCCATTCTCCCGCTTACCATCACCCCGCCCCAGTCTCCCGCTTTCCATCACCCCGCCCCATTCTCCCTCTTTCCATCACCCCGCCCCATTCTCCCTGTTTCCATCACCCCGCCCCATTCTCCCGATTTCCATCACCCCTCCCCATTCTCCCGCTTTCCATCACCCCGCCCCATTCTCCCGCTTTCCATCACTCCACCCCATTCTCCCGCTTTCCATCACCCCGCCCCATTCTCCCGCTTTCCATCACCCTGCCCCATTCTCCCGCTTCCCATCACCCTGGCCCATTCTCCCGCTTTCCATCACCCCGCCCCATTCTCCCGCTTTCCATCACCCCGCCCCATTCTCCCTCCTTCCATCACCCCGCCTCATTCTCCCGCTTTCCATCACCCCGCCCCATTCTCCCGCTTTCCATAACCCCGCCGCATTCTCCCGCTTTCCATCACCAAGCCACATTCTCCCACTTTCCATCAGCCCGCCCCATTCTCCCTCCTTCCATCGCCCTGCCCCGTTCTCCCTCCTTCCATCATCCCGCCCCATTCTCCCTCCTTCCATCACCTCGCCCCATTTTCCCGCTTTCTATCAGCCCGCCCCATTCCACCGCTTTCCATCACCCCGCCCTATTATCCAGCTTTCCATAACCCGCCCCATTCTCCCGCTTTCCATCACCCCGCCCCATTCTCCCGCTTTCCATCACCCCACCCCATTCTCCCGCTTTCCATCACCCCACCCCATATTCCCGCTTTCCATCACCCCGCCCCATTCTCCAGCTTTCCATCAGCCGCCCCATTCTCCCGCTTTCCATCACCCCGCCTCATTCTCCCGATTCCCATCAACCCGCCCCATTCTCCCGCTTTCTATCACCCGTCCCCATTCTCCCTCCTTCCATCACCCCGCCCCATTCTCCCGCTTTCCATCACCCCGCCCCATTCTACCACTTTCCATCACCTCGCCCCTTTCTCCCGCTTTCCATCACCCTGCCCCATTCTCCCGCTTTCCATCAACCTGCCCCATTCTCCCGCTTTCCATCACCATGCCCGATTCTCCCTCCTTCCATCACCCCACCCCATTCTCCCGCTTTCCATCACCCCGCCTTATTCTACTGCTCTCCATCACCCCGCACCATTCGCCCGCTTTCCATCACCCCTCCCCATTCTCCTGCTTTCCATCACCCCGCCCCATTGTCCCTCCTTCCATGACCCCACCCCATTCTCCCTCCATCCATCACCCCGCCTTATTCTCCCAATTTCCATCACCCCACCCCATTCTCCCGCTTTCCATCACCCCGCCTTATTCTCCCGCTTTCCATCACCTCGCCCCATTCTCCCGCTTTCCATCACCCCGCCCCATTCTCCGCTTTCCATCACACGCCCATTCTCCCGCTTTCCATCACCCGCACCATTCTCCCGCTTTTCATTACCCCGCCCCATTTTCCCGCTTCCCATCATCTCGCCCCATTCTCCCGCTTTCCATCACCCTGCCCCATTCTCCCTCCTTCCATCACCCCACCCCATTCTCCCGCTTTCCATCATCTCGCCCCATTCTCCCGCTTTCCATCACCCCGCCCCGTTCTCCCGCTTTCCATCACCCCGCCCCATTCTCCTGCTTTCCATCACCCACCCCATTCTCCCGCTTTCCATCACCCCACCCCAGTCTCCCGCTTTCCATCACCCCGCCCTATTCTCCCGCTTTCCATCACCCCGCCCCATTCTCCCGCTTTCCATCACCCCACCCCATTCTCCTGCTTTCCATCACCCCGCCCCATTCTCCTGCTTTCCTTCACCCCTCCCCATTCTCCCGCTTTCCATCACCCCGCCCCATTCTCCCGCTTTCAATCACCCCACCCCATTCTCCCGCTTTCCATCACTCCGCCCCATTCTCCCTCCTTCCATCACCCCGCCCCATTCTCCCGCTTTCCATCACCCCGACCCATTCTCCCACTTTCCATCACCCCGCCCAATTCTCTCGCTTTCCATCATCCAGCCCCATTCCCCCGCTTTCCATCACCCCGCCCTATTCTCCCTCTTTCCATCACCCCGCCCCATTCTCCCTCCTTCCATCACCCCGCCCCATTCTACCGCTTTCCATCACCCCGCCACATTCTTCCACTTTCCATCACCCCGCCCCATTCTCCCTCCTTCCATCACCACGCCCCATTCCCCCGCTTTCCATCACCCCGCCCCATTCTCCCGCATTCCATCACCCCGCCCCATTCTCCCTCCTTCCATCACCCTGCCCCATTCTCCCGCTTTCCATCACCCCACCCCATTCTTCCGCATTCTATCACCCCGCCCCATTCTCCCGGTCTCCATCACCCCGCCCCCTTCTCCCTCCTTCCATCACCCTGCCCCATTCTCCCTCCTTCCATCACCCCGCCCCTTTCTCCCGCTTTCCATCAGCCCGCCCCATTCTCCCGCTTTCCATCACCCCGCCCCATTTTCCCGCGTTCCATCTCCCCGCCCCATTCTCCCGGTTTCCATAACCCCGCCCCCTTCTCCCTCCGTCCATCACCCCGCCCCATTCTCCCTCCTTCCATCATCCCGCCCCATTCTCCTGCTTTCCATCAGCCCGCCCCATTCTCCGGCTTTCCATCACCCAGCCCCATTCTCCCGCTCTACATCACCCCGCCCCGTTCTCCCGCTTTCCATAACCCCGCCCCATTCTCACGCTTTCCATCACCCCGCCCCATTCACCCGCTTTCCATCACCCCGCCCCATTCCACTCCTTTCCGTCACCCCGCCCCATTCTCCCGCTTTCCATCACCTCGCCCCATTCTCACGCTCTCCATCACCCCTCCCCATTCACCCGTTTTCCATCACCCCGCCCCATTCTCACGCTTTCCATCACCCCACCCCACTCCCGCTTTCCATCACCCCGCCCCATTCTCCTGCTTTCCATCACCCCGCCCCATTCTCCCGCTTTCCATCACCTCGCCCCATTCTCACGCTTTCCATCACCCCGCCCCATTCTCTCGCTTTCCATCACCCCGCCCCATTCTCCCTCCTTCCATCACCCCGCCTCATTCTCCCTCCTTCCATCACCCCGCCCCATTCTCCCGCTTTCCATCACCCCGCCCCATTCTCCTGCTTCCCATCACCCCGCCCCATTCACCCGCTTTCCATCACCCGCCCCATTCTCCCGCATTCCATCACCCCGCCCCATTCTCCCGCTTTCCATAACCCCGCCCCATTCTCCTGCTTTCCATCACCCCGCCATATTCTCCCACTTTCCATCACCCCGCCCCATTCTCCCTCCTTCCATCACCCGCCCCATTCTCCCTCCTTCCATCACCCCACCCCATTCTCCCTCCTTCCATCACCTCGCCCCATTCTCCCGCTTTCCATCACCACGCCTCATTCTCCCGCTTTCCATCACCCCGCCCCATACTCCCGCTTTCCATCACCCCGCCCCATTCTCCCGCTTTCCATCACCCCGCCCCAATCTCCCTCCTTCCATCACCCCGCCCCATTCTCCCGCTTTCCATGAGCCCGCCCCATTCTCCCTCCTTCCATCACCTCGGCCCATTCTCCTTCCTTCCATCACCCTGCCCCATTCTCCCGCTTTCCATCACCCCGCCCCATTTTCCCGTTTTCCATCACCCCGCCCCATTCTCCTACTTTCCATCACCCCGCCCCATTCTCCTGCTTTCCACCACCCCGCCCCATTCTCCCGCTTTCCATCACCCCGCCCCATTCTCCCGCTTTCCATCACCCCACCCCATCCTCCCACCTTCTATCACCCCGCCCCATTCTCCCTCCTTCTATCACCTCGCCCCATTCTCCCGCTTTCCATCACTCCGCCCCATTCTCCTGCTTTCCATCACCCCGCCCCATTCTCCCGCTTTCCATCACCCCGCCCCATTCCCCCGCTTTCCATCACCTCGCCCCATTCTCCCGCTTTCTATCACCCCGCCCCGTTCTCCCGCTTTCCATCACCCCGCCCCATTCTCCCGCTTTCCATCACCCCGCCCCATTCTCCCTCTTTCCATCACCCCGCCCCATTCTCCCTCCTTCCATCATTCCGCCTCATTCTCCGCTTCCCATAACCCCAGCCCCATCTCCCGCTTTCCATCACCCCGCCACTTTCTCCCACTTCATCCCGCCCCATTCTCCCTCCTTCCATCACCCCGCCCCATTCTCCCTCCTTCCATCACCCCGCCCCATTCTCCCGCTTTCCATCAGCCCGCCCTATTCTCCCGCTTTCCATCAGCCCGCCCCATTCTCCCGCTTTCCATCACCCCGCCCCATTCTCCCGCTTTCCATCAACCTGCCCCCTTCTCCCGCTTTCCATCACCCCGCCCCATTCTCCCGCTTTCCATCACCCCACCCCATTTTCCCATTTTCCATCACCTCGCCCCATTCTCCTTGCTTCCATCACCCCGCCCCAATCTCCCTCCTTCCATCACCCCGTCCCATTCTCCCGCTTTCCATCACCCCGCCCGATTCTCCCGCTTTCCATCACCCCGCCCCATTCTCCCGCTTTCCATCACCCCGCCCCATTCTCCCGCTTTCCATCAGCCCGCCCCATTCTCCCGCTTTCCATCACCTCGCCCCATTCTCCCGCTTTCCATCAACCTGCCCCCTTCTCCCGCTTTCCATCACCCCGCCCCATTCTCCCGCTTTCCATCACCCCACCCCATTTTCCCATTTTCCGTCACCTCGCCCCATTCTCCTTGCTTCCATCACCGCGCCCCAATCTCCCTCCTTCCATCACCCCGTCCCATTCTCCCGCTTTCCATCTCCCCGCCCCATTCTTCCGCTTCCCATCATCCCGCCCCATTCCCCTGCTTTCCATCACCCCTCCCCATTCTCCCTCCTTCCATCACCCCGCCCCATTCTCCCGCTTTCCATCACCCGCCCCATTCTCCTGCTTTCCATCACCTCGCCCCATTCTCCCGCTTTCCATCACCCCGCCCCATTCTTCTGCTTTCCATCACCCCGCCCCATTCACCCGCTTTCCATCACCCGCCCCATCTCCCGCTTTCCATCACCCCGCCCCATTCTCCCGCTCTCCATCACCCCGCCCCATTCTCCCGCTTTTCATCACCCCGTCCCATTCTCCCGCTTTCCAACACCCCTCCCCATTCTCGCGCTTTCCATCACCCCGCCCCATTCTCCCACTTTCCATCACCCCGCCCCATTCTCCCTCCTTCCATCACCGTGGCTCATTCTCCCTCCTTCCATCACCCCGCCCCATTCTCCCGCTTTCCATCACCCCGCCCCATTCTCCCGCTTTCCATCACCCAGCCCCATTCTCCCGCTTTCCATCACCCCGCCCCATTTTCCCGCTTTCCATCACCCCGCCCGATTCTCCCGCTTTCCATCACCCCGCCCCATTCTCCCGCTTTCCATCACCCTGCCCCATTCTCCCGCTTTCCATCACCCCGCCCCATTCTCCCTCCTTCCATCACCCCGCCCCATTCTTCCGCTTTCCATCACCCCGCCCCATTCTCCCGCTTTCCATCACCCAGCCCCATTCTCCCGCTTTCCATCACCCCGCCCCATTTTCCCGCTTTCCATCACCCCGCCCGATTCTCCCGCTTTCCATCACCCCGCCCCATTCTCCCGCTTTCCATCACCCCGCCCCATTCTCCCGCTTTCCATCACCCCGCCCCATTCTCCCTCCTTCCATCACCCCGCCCCATTCTCCCGCTTTCCATCACCCCGCCCCATTCTCCCGCTTTCCATCACCCAGCCCCATTCTCCCGCTTTCCATCACCCCGCCCCATTTTCCCGCTTTCCATCACCCCGCCCGATTCTCCCGCTTTCCATCACCCCGCCCCATTCTCCCGCTTTCCATCACCCCGCCCCATTCTCCCGCTTTCCATCACCCCGCCCCATTCTCCCTCCTTCCATCACCCCGCCCCATTCTCCCGCTTTCCATCACCCCGCCCCATTCTCCCTCCTTCCATCACCCCGCCCCATTGTCCCGCTTTCCATCACTCTGCCCCATTCTCCCGCTTTCCATCACCCCGCCCCATTCTCCCGCTTTCCATCACCCCGCCCCATTCTCCCTCCTTCCATCACCCTGGCTCATTCTCCCTCCTTCCATCACCCCGCCCCATTCTCCCGCTTTCCATCACCCCGCCCCATTCTCCCGCTTTCCATCACCCAGCCCCATTCTCCCGCTTTCCATCACCCCGCCCCATTTTCCCGCTTTCCATCACCCCGCCCGATTCTCCCGCTTTCCATCACCCCGCCCCATTCTCCCGCTTTCCATCACCCCGCCCCATTCTCCCGCTTTCCATCACCCCGCCCCATTCTCCCTCCTTCCATCACCCCGCCCCATTCTCCCGCTTTCCATCACCCCGCCCCATTCTCCCTCCTTCCATCACCCCGCCCAATTCTCCCTCCTCCCATTACCCTGCCCCATTCTCCCGCTTCCCATAACCCCACCCCATTCTCCCGCTTTCCATCACCCTGCCACATTCTCCCACTTTCCATCACTCCGCCCCCTTCTCCCTCCTTCCATCACCCTGCCCCATTCTCCCGCTTTCCACCACCCCGCCCCATTCTCCCGCTTTCCATCACCCCGCCCCATTCTCCCGCTTTCCATCACCCCACCCCATCTCCCACCTTCTATCACCCCGCCCCATTCTCCCTCCTTCCATCACCCCGCCCCATTCTCCCGGTTTCCATCACCTCGCCCCATTCTCCCGCTTTCCATCACCCCGCCCCGTTCTCCCGCTTTCCATCACCCCGCCCAATTCTCCCGCTTTCCATCACCCCGCCCCATTCTCCCGCTTTCTATCACCCCGCCCAATTCTCCTGCTTTCCATCACCCCGCCCCATTCCCCTGCTTTCCATCACCCCGCCCCATTCTCCCGCTTTCCATCACCCCTCCCCGTTCTCACGCTTTCCATCACCCCGCCCAATTCTCCCGCTTTCCATCACCCCGCCCCATTCTCCTGCTTTCCATCACCCTGCCCCATTCTCCCTCTTTCCATCACCCCGCCCCATTTTCCTTCCTTCCATCACCCCGCCCAATTCTCCGCTTCCCATAACCCCAGCCCCATCTCCCGCTTTCCATCACCCCGCCACATTCTCCCACTTTCCATCACCCCGCCCCATTCTCCCTCCTTCCATCACCCCGCCCCATTCTCCCTCCTTCCATCACCCCGCCCCATTCTCCCGCTTTCCATCTCCCCGCCCCATTCTCCCGCTTTCCATCACCCTGCCCCATTCTTCCGCTTTCCATCACCCCGCCCCATTCTTCCGCTTCCCATCATCCCACCCCATTCCCCCGCTTTCCATCACCCCTCCCCATTCTCCCTCCTTCCATCACCCCGCCCCATTCCCCAACTTTCCATCACCCGCCCCATTCTCCTGCTTTCCATCACCTCGCCCAATTCTCCTGCTTTCCATCACCCCGCCCCATTCTTCTGCTTTCCATCACCCCGCCCCATTCTCCCGCTTTCCATCACCCCGCACCATTCACCCGCTTTCCATCACCCGCCCCATCTCCCGCTTTCCATCACCCCGCCCCATTCTCCCGCTCTCCATCACCCCGCCCCATTCTCCCGCTTTTCATCACCCCGCCCCATTCTCCCGCTTTCCAACACCCCTCCCCATTCTCCCGCTTTCCATCACCCCGCCCCATTCTCCCGCTTTCCATCACCCCGCCCCATTGTCCCGCTTTCCATCACTCTGTCCCATTCTCCCGCTTTCCATCACCCCGCCCCATTCTCCCGCTTTCCAACACCCCGCCCCATTCTCCCTCCTTCCATCACCCCGCCCCATTCTCCCGCTTTCCATCACCCCGCCCCATTCTCCCGCTTTCCATCACCCAGCCCCATTCTCCCGCTTTCCATCACCCCGCCCCATTTTCCCGCTTTCCATCACCCCGCCCGATTCTCCCGCTTTCCAACACCCCGCCCCATTCTCCCGCTTTCCATCACCCCGCCCCATTCTCCCGCTTTCCATCAACCCGCCCCTTTCTCCCGCTTTCCATCTCCTCGCCCCATTCTCCCGCTTTCCATCACCCAGCCCCATTCTCCCGCTTTCCATCACCCCGCCCCATCTTCGCGCTTTCCATCACCCTGCCGCAATCTCCCGCTTTCCATCACCCTGCCCCAATCTTCCGCTTTCCATCACCCCGCCCCATTCTCCCTCCTTCCATCACCCCGCCCCATTCTCCCGCTTTCCATCACCCCGCCCCATTCTCCAGCTTTCCATCACCCTGCCCCATTCTCCCGCTTTCCATCACCCCGCCCCATTCTCCCTCCTTCCATCACCCCGCCCCATTCTCCCGCTTTCCATCACCCCGCCCCATTCTCCCTCCTTCCATCACCCCGCCCCATTCTCCCGCTTTCCATCATCCCGCCCCATTCTCCCTCCTTCCATCACCCCGCCCATTCTCCCTCCTTCCATCACCCCGCCCCATTCGCCCGCTTTCCATCACCCCGCCCCATTCTCCCGCTTTCCATCACCCCGCCCCATTCTCCCTCCTTCCATCACCCCGCCCCATTCTCCCGCTTTCCATCATCCCGCCCCATTCTCCCGCTTTCCATCACCCCTCCCCTTTCTCCCGCTTTCCATCTCCCCGCCCCATTCTCCCGCTTTCCATCACCCCGCCCCATTCTTCCGCTTCCCATCATCCCGCCCCATTCCCCCGCTTTCCATCACCCCTCCCCATTCTCCCTCCTTCCATCACCCCGCCCCATTCTTCGGCTTTCCATCACCCGCCCCATTCTCCTGCTTTCCATCACCTCGCCCCATTCTCCCGCTTTCCATCACCCCGCCCCATTCTTTTGCTTTCCATCACCCCGTCCCATTCTCCCGCTTTCCATCACCCTGCCCCATTCACCCGCTTTCCATCACCCGCCCCATTCTCCCGCTTTCCATCACCCCGCCCCATTCTCCCGCTTTCCATCACCCACCCCATTCTCCCGCTTTCCATCACCCCGCCCCATTCTCCCGCTTTCCATCACTTCGCCCCATTCTCCCGCTTTCCATCACTCCGACCCATTCTCCCGCTTTCCATCACCCCGACCCATTCTCCCACTTTCCATCACCCCGCCCCATTCTCCCTCCTTCCATCACCCTGCCTCATTCTCCCTCCTTCCATCACCCCGCCCCATTCTCCCGCTTTCCATCACCTCGCCCCATTCTCCCGCTTTCCATCACCCAGCCCCATTCTCCCGCTTTCCATCACCCCGCCCCATTTTCCCGCTTTCCATCACCCCGCCCCATTCTCCCGCTTTCCATCACCCTGCCCCAATCTCCCGCTTTCCATCACCCCGCCCCATTCTCCCTCCTTCCATCACCCCGCCCCATTCTCCCGCTTTCCATCACCCCGCCCCATTCTCCTGCTTTCCATCACCCAGCCCCATTCTCCCGCTTTCCATCACCCCGCCCCATTCTCCCGCTTTCCATCACCCCACCCCATTCTCCCTCCTTCCATCACCCCGCCCCATTCTCCCACCTTCCATCATCTCGCCCCATTCTCCCGCTTTCCATCACCCCGGCCCATTCTCCCTCCTTCCATCACCCCGCCCTATTCTCCCTCCTTCCATCACCCCGCCCCATTCCCCCGCTTTCCATCACCCCGCCCCATTCTCCCGCTTCCCATAACCCCACCCCATTCTCCCGCTTTCCATCACCCCGCCACATTCTCCTGCTTTCTATCACCCCGCCCCATTCTCCCTCCTTCCATCACCCCGCCCCATTCTCCCGCTTTCCATCACCCCGTCCCATTCTCCCGATTTCCATCACCCCGCTCCATTCTCCCGCTTTCCATCACCCCGCCCCATTCTCCCGCTTTCCATCACCCCGCCCCATTCTCCCGCTTTCCATCATCCCGCCCCATTCTCCCTCCTTCCATCACCCCGCCCCGGTCCAGGAGCTTGCCCGGTCCAGGAGCGTGCCTGGTCCACGAGCCTGCTTGGTCCAGGATCTTGCCTGGTCCATGAGCTTGCCTGGTCCAGGAGCTTGCCTGGTCCAGGAGCTTGCGTGGTCCAGGAGCTTCCCTGGCCCAGGAGCTTGCCTGGTCTAAGAGCTTGCCTAGTCCAGGAGCTTGCCTGGTCCAGGAGCTTACCAGGTCCAGGAGCGTGCTTGGTCCACGAGCTTGCCTGTTCCTGGAGCTTGCCTGGTTCAGGAGCTTGCCTGGTCCAAGAGCTTGCCTGGTCCAAGAGCTTGCGTAGTTTAGGAGCTTGCCTGGTCCAGAATCTTGCAAGGTCCAGGAGCGTGCCTGGTCCACGACCTTGCCTAGTCCAAGAGCTTGCCTGGTCCAGGACCTTGCCTGGTCTAGGAGCTAGCCTGGTCCAGGAGCGTGCCTGGTCCAGCAGCTTGCCTGATCCTAGAGCTTGCCTGGTCCAGAAGCTTGCCTGGTCCACGAGTTTGCCTGGTATAGGAGCTTGCCTGGTCGAGGAGCTTACCTGGTCTAGGAGCTTGCGTGGTTCAAGCGCGTGCCTTGTTCAGGAGCTTGCCTGGTCCAGGAGCTTGCCTGGTCCAAGAGTGTGCTTGGTCCACGAGCCTGCCTGGTCCAAGAGCTTGCCTGGACCAAGAGCGTGTCTGGTCCACGAGCGTGCCTGGTCCAGGAGCTTGCCTTGTCCAGGAGATTGCGTGGTCCAGGAGCTTGCTTGGTCCAGAAGCATGCCTGATCCAAGCGCTTGCCTAGTCCAGGAGCGTGCTTGGTCCACGACCGTGCCTGGTCCAGGAGCTTGCGTGGTCGAGGAGCTTGCCTGATCCAAGAGCTTACCTGGTCCAAGAGCTTGCCTGGTCCACGAGCCTGCCTGGTCCAAGAGCTTGTCTGGTCCAGGAGCGTGCATGGTCCCAGAGCTTGCGTGGTCCAGGAGCTTGCCAGGTCCAGTATCTTGCCCGGTCCAGGAGCGTGCCTGGTCCACAAGCCTGCCTGGTTCAGGAGCTTGCCTGGTCTAGAAGCTTGCCTAGTCTAGGAGCTCGCCTGGTCTAGGAGCTTGCCTGATCCATGAGCTTGCCTAGTCCATGAGCTTGCCTGGTCTAGGAGTTTGCCTGGTCCAGGAGCTTGCCTGGTCTAGGAGCTTGCCTGGTCCAGGAGCGTGCCTGGTCCACGAGCTTGCCTGTTCCTGGAGCTTGCCTGGTTCAAGAGCTTGCCTGGTCCAAGAGCTTGCCTGGTCCAAGAGCTTGCGTAGTTTAGGAGCTTGCCTGGTCCAGAATCTTGCAAGGTCCAGGAGCGTGCCTAGTCCACGACCTTGCCTAGTCCAGGAGCTTGCCTGGTCCAGGACCTTGCCTTGTCTAGGAGCATGCCTAGTCCAGGAGCGTTCCTGGTCCACGAGTTTGCCTGGTATAGGAGCTTGCCTGGTCGAGGAGCTTGCCTGGTCTAGGAGCTTATGTGGTCCAGGAGCGTGCCTTGTTCAGGAGCTTGCTTGGTCAAGGAGCTTGCCTGGTCCAAGAGTGTGCTTGGTCCACGAGCCTGCCTGGTCCAAGAGCTTGCCTGGACCAAGAGCGTGTCTGGTCCACGAGCGTGCCTGGTCCAGGAGCTTGCCTTGTCCAGGAGATTGCGTGGTCCAGGAGCTTGCCTGGTCCAGGAGCTTGCTTGGTCCAGAAGCATGCCTGATCCAAGCGCTTGCCTAGTCCAGGAGCGTGCGTGGTCCACGAGCGTGCCTGGTTCAGGAGCTTGCGTGGTCGAAGAGCTTGCCTGATCCAAGAGCTTACCTGGTCCAAGAGCTTGCCTGGTCCACGAGCCTGCGTGGTCCAAGAGCTTGTCTGGTCCAGGAGCGTGCATTGTCCCAGAGCTTGCGTTGTCCAGGAGCTTGCCAGGTCCAGTATCTTGCCCGGTCCAGGAGCGTGCCTGGTCCACAAGCCTGCCTTGTTCAAGAGCTTGCCTGGTATAGGAGCTTGCCTAGTCTAGGAGCTTGCCTGGTCCAGGAGCTTGCCTGATCCATGAGCTTGCCTGGTCCAGGAGCTTGCCTGGTCTAGGAGTTTGCCTGGTCCAGGAGCTTGCCTGGTCTAGGAGCTTGCCTGGTCCAGGAGCTTGCCTGGTCCAGGAGCTTGCCTGGTCCAGAAGCGTGCCTGGTCCACAAGCTTGCCTGGTGTAGGAGCTTGCCTGGTCCAAGAGCTTGCCTGGTCCGAGAGCTTGCATTGTCCAGGAGCTTGCCTGGTCCAAGAGCTTGCCTGGTCCAGGAGCGTGCCTGGTCTAGGAGCTTGCTTGGTCCAGGATCTTGCCTGGTCCAGGAGCGTGCCTGGTCCACGAGTTTGCCTGGTCCACGAGCTAGCCTGGTCCAAGAGCTTGCCTGGTCTAGGAGCTTGCCTGGTCCAGGAGCGTGCCTGGTCCAGGAGCTTGCCTTGTCCAGGAGCTTGCCTGGTCCAGGAGCTTGCCTGGTCAAGGAGCGTGCCTGGTCCACGAGCCTGCCTCGACTAAGAGCTTGCCTAGTCCAAGAGCGTGTGTGGTCCACGAGCGTGCGTGGTCCAGGAGCTTGCCTGGTCCAGGAGCTTGCCTGGTCCACGAGCTTGCCTAATCTAGGAGCGTGCTTGGTCCAGGATCTCGCCTGGTCCAGGAGCGTGCCTGGTCCACGAGTTTGCCTAGTCCAGGAGCTTGCCTGGTCGAGGAGCTTGCCTGGTCTAGGAGCTTGCCTGGTCCACGAGCGTGCCTGGTCCAGGAGCTTGCCTGGTCTAGGAGCTTGCCTGGTCCAGGAGCGTGCCTGGTCCAGGAGATTGCTTGGTCCAGGAGCTTGCTTGGTCCAGAAGTCTGCCTGGTCCAAGAGCTTGCCTGGTCGAGGAGCGTGGCTGGTCCAAGACATTGCGTGGTCTAGGAGCTTGCCTTGTCCAGGAGCTTGCTTGGTCCGGAAGCGTGCCTGATCCAAGAGCTTGCGTGGTCCAGGAGCGTGCCTGGTCCACGAGCGTGGCTGGTCCAGGAGCTTTAGTGGTCGAGGAGCTTGCCTGATCCAGGAGCTTGCCTTGTCCAAGAGCTTGCGTGGTCCAGGAGCTTGCCAGGTCCAGGAGCTTGCAAGGTCCAAGTGCGTGCCTTGTCCACGAGCGTGCCTGGTCCAGGAGCTTGCCTGGTCAAGGAGCTTGCCTGGTCCAGGAGCTTGCCTGGTCCTGGAGCTTGCCTTGTCAAGGAGCGTGCCTGGTCCACAAGCCTGCCTCGACCAAGAGCTTGCCTAGTCCAAGAGCGTGCGTGGTCCACGAGCGTGCCTGGTCCAGGAGCTTGCCTGGTCCAGGAGCTTGCCTGGTCCACGAGCTTGCCTAATCTAGGAGCGTGCTTGGTCCACGATCTCGCCTGGTCCAGGAGCGTGCCTGGTCCATGAGTTTGCGTGGTCCAGGAGCTTGCCCGGTCCAGGAGCTTGCCTGGTCTAGGAGCTTGCCTGGTCCAGGAGCGTGCCTGGTCCATGAGCTTGCCTGGTCTAGGAGCTTGCCTGGTCCAGGAGCGTGCCTGGTCCAGGAGATTGCTTGGTCCAGGAGCTTGCTTGGTCCAGAAGTCAGCCTGGACCAAGAGCTTGCCTGGTCGAGGAGCGTGGCTGGTCCAAGACATTGGGTGGTCTAGGAGCTTGCCTCGTCCAGGAGCTTGCTCGGTCCTGAAGCGTGCCAGATCCAAGAGCTTGCGTGGTCCACGAGTGTGCCTGGTCCACGAGCGTGCCTGGTCTAGGAGCTTTAGTGGTCGAGGAGCTTGCCTGATCCAGGAGCTTGCCTTGTCCAAGAGCTTGCGTGGTCCAGGAGCTTGCCACGTCCAGGAGCTTGCAAGGTCCAAGTGCGTGCCTTGTCCACGAGCGTGCCTGGTCCAGGAGCTTGCCTGGTCAAGGAGCTTGCCTGGTCCAGGAGCTTGCCTGGTCCTGGAGCTTGCCTTGTCAAGGAGCGTGCCTGGTCCACAAGCCTGCCTCGACCAAGAGCTTGCCTAGTCCAAGAGCGTGCGTGGTCCACGAGCGTGCCTGGTCCAGGAGCTTGCCTGGTCCAGGAGCTTGCCTGGTCCACGAGCTTGCCTAATCTAGGAGCGTGCTTGGTCCACGATCTCGCCTGGTCCAGGAGCGTGCCTGGTCCATGAGTTTGCGTGGTCCAGGAGCTTGCCCGGTCCAGGAGCTTGCCTGGTCTAGGAGCTTGCCTGGTCCAGGAGCGTGCCTGGTCCATGAGCTTGCCTGGTCTAGGAGCTTGCCTGGTCCAGGAGCGTGCCTGGTCCAGGAGATTGCTTGGTCCAGGAGCTTGCTTGGTCCAGAAGTCAGCCTGGACCAAGAGCTTGCCTGGTCGAGGAGCGTGGCTGGTCCAAGACATTGGGTGGTCTAGGAGCTTGCCTCGTCCAGGAGCTTGCTCGGTCCTGAAGCGTGCCAGATCCAAGAGCTTGCGTGGTCCACGAGTGTGCCTGGTCCACGAGCGTGCCTGGTCTAGGAGCTTTAGTGGTCGAGGAGCTTGCCTGATCCAGGAGCTTGCCTTGTCCAAGAGCTTGCGTGGTCCAGGAGCTTGCCAGTTCCAGGAGCTTGCAAGGTCCAAGTGCGTGTTTGGTCCACGAGCCTGCCTGGTCCAGGAGCTTGCCTGGTCAAGGAGCTTGCCTTGTTCATGAGCTAGCCTGGTCTAGGAGCTTGCCTGGTCCAATAGCTTGCCTGGTCTAGGAGCTTGCCTGGTCCAGGAGCTTGCCTAGTCCAAGAGCTTGCCTGGTCCAGGAGCGTGCGTGGTCCACGAGCTTGCCTGGTCTAGGAGCTTGCCTTGCCAGGAGCTTGCCTGGTCCAAGAGCTTGCCTGGTCCAAGAGCTTGCGTGGTCCAAGAGCTTGCCTGGTCCAAGAGTTTCCCTGGTCCAGGAGCATGCCTGGTCTAGGAGCTTGCCTGGTCCAGGATCTTGCATGGTCCAGGAGCGTGCCTGATCCACGAGTTTGCCTGGTCCAGAAGCTTGCCTGGCTCAGGAGCTTGCCTGGTCCAAGAGCTTGCCTGGTCCAGGAGCTTGCCTGGTCCAGGAGCGTGCCTGGTCCACGAGCCTGCCTGGTCCACGAGCTTTCCTGGTCCACGAGCTTGCCTGGTCTAGGAGCATGCCTGGTCCAAAGTCTTGCCTGGTCCAGGAGCTTGCCCGGTCTAGGAGCTTTCCTGGTCCAGTAG